CAGCCCCGACCCTGCACTTGACTCCCGTCCCTAAGTCCTGAAGCTTTTATTGCCTCCGGCGGCTTCGAGAGTCACCACCTGCCTGGAGCCCCTCTACCTTGCCCCCTTGGCCCTCGGACCACCTTGTGGCCCACGTGTCTGTCCACTGGGAGGCTGGGGTGGCAGGATGTGAAGGGGTCGGCGGACTTGGGTGAGCTCCTGTGTGTACACGTGTGTTCTCATTTGCACACGTGTTCCCAGCGCAAGTCAGAGACTGCTGTCCCTGCGTGGAGCCCTGTCCTGCCTCTGCTGTCCTGCTGGTGGCGGACATCACATCTTGTCTCACACCCTCACTCCCTGCCCAGGACCAGGAGGGTGGCTGAAGGTTTTATGGGGGTTGTTGGCCAAGAGAGGGGGCTTATTTCATAGAGACTGCCAGTTCACTCTGGCCTTCTTCTCTGGGGCCAGCAGCCTCCACCACATTGTGTCTGTCCCTGTGGGAACTGTGTCTTGCTGGTGGAGGCTCCAGAGGGGTTTCCTGGCTGGCTGCCCCTGCCCGCTGCTGCTTCCTGGGTGCTCTCAGAACTTTGGGTGTAGCTCATGGTCTGGCCCGGCAGCCTGTGGCTGGGAGGTCGTGGCTGGGGGTCCCGATCATAGTTGATTGTGATAGGCGGAGAAGCTGCTATAGGCTGTTGGGTGCCACTCTGTTGCCCCCTATAACTGCCCACCTGCTTAACCTACTGATTTGCCTTTTGCAGCCACGCCTGCCGGGCCACATGCCCGACCCCCATGGGAGAGAAAAGCTGCCACCTTTTTAGGAGCCAGCGCCACCTTGGGACAAAAAGGGAAACCGAGTCATGCCATCACATGGAGGACGAGGCCCAGCCCGGCTGGGCCAGAGCCCAGAAGTGCCACCTCATCATAATTCAAGTGTTCTTCCATACAGCGTTGCCCCCACAACCACGCCGGACGTGCTCCCTCGCCACCTTTTCCAGATGACTTCTTAGAAGAGATTTCATTTATTTGTACATCTTTTGCACTTTCCTATTGAAGACTTGAACACGTTTGTCTTGATAAAAGTTGGATGACGTATGGAAGATTCAAACCTGCAGCACTGACGTCTCTTTACCGATGGGTTCCAGACCCAAGGTAGCCCTGGCACTGCCCTGTGGACTCGGCCCAGCTGGGGAGGACACGGCGCCCGGTGCCCTGGGAGCCTTCAGCGTCCCCTGCCTGTCCTGTCTGCACCTGTGTGACTGCCCCTTGTGCTTCAGCCCCCTGCCCACTTGGAGCCTCCCAACACCAGAGAGGGCAGGTTTGGGGAGCCCCTGTCCAGCCCAACGGTGAGACCTTGGCTGACATTTCCCCTCCTTCCTACCAAGGCTGGCGGCCGCCAGGTGTTTGCTCTCTCCTTGCGGGGAGGAGGATCCTCTGCCAGCAGGTGTCTGTCCCCGGCCCAGCGTGTCTTGAAGGCCCTGAACTCTGTTACCAGTGGGGGGCCTGTGGCCCCGGCTCTTCATGGCGGGCAGAAGCGTGTGATCCCCAGAGGGTGGGCTGGGGAGGACCAGCGCTTGCCTCGGAGCCACTGCTGCGTTTGGGGTTTGCCTTTTGCCAGAGGTGTGGTTAAGGGCAGTGATAGCTGGCGCCCCAGCAAGGAGGGTCATGGGCCCTGAGCTGGCCCAGGAGACCCTGGCCCTGCCCTGTGCCCTGGGATGCCTGCCCCGCCCACCTCCACGGGTGGAACCGGGCTGCCCCTGGGGGCCTGGACTTGTCCCATTCCCCTGTCCCTGGAAAGGCCCTCCCGGGGCCTTCCTGCCTGAGGCTGCAGTCTTGGAGGGCATGGGGAGAGCTCTGCCTGAGGGGGACTGGACCCAGTGCCCTCTGCAGACCCCTCCCAGCCGCAGCACCAGGGGCTTGCTGCCTTGTCTCCTGCCAGGAGCGCTTTGGAGTCCCCAAACCATCTTCCCACATGGGGGTTGTTGGAATCCCACCCACTCCCCCGGCCCCTGCGCCTCCAAGCTGGGGACGGAGATGGGGAGCAGGTCAGGCCCTCCCTAGGCCTGTCTGTTTCTGATCCTCCTCCCAGCCCCGGGTCCACCTGGAAGGCATTTCTGAGTCTTGAACTGAGACCTTCCCAGAGAAGGTGCTTTGGGTGCAGAATCCTGGGAGTGTTAGGAAAGGGCTCCGTGAAAAACCCAGCTGGGTCTGGGGTGGAGGTGCCACAGGCGCTGGGGCTCAGCTCCCTGCAGAGGGCCTGCCTGGGACTTAGTGGGCCAGGGCTGGGTCAGGATTCACCGGCTTGTGTTGCAGACACTGGAGTCATTGCCTGGCCCTCCCTAAGCCCCAGATGCCTCACTCATAATGAGGCGCTCTCTGAACCCCGGAGGGCGGGACCCGCGAGCCCTTCATCTTGGCGCGCTCCCACACTCCAGTCTGGATCCAGGTCTGAAAGGCCAGGCTGACCCTGACACTGCAGGTGGGCGTAGTGGGGAGCACCCTGGAGTGGAGATGATTGTCAGCGGGCTCACATGTGGTTTATCCACACGCGTGTTGTTTGCTCTGCAGTGCCTCCCGGCAAAGGCTCCTGGCTCGGGTCACAGGCGAGGTGACCTGCCATAAGCTCACTCCTGTGCCCTCATCCCCAACCAAGCAGTGGCCAGCACTGGGCTTGGCTGTCACTGGGAGCAGTGCCCACCTTCCTTGCCCCACAGCAGATAGGTCCCGAGCAGCAGGACTGGAGGCCTGTGGCGGTCAGGGGAGGGGTCTGTCTCCACCCCAAGGGCTGATGGTCCCTCCCCTGGGAGCCCCTCCTTCCAGGCAGCCTTGCTGTATCCCTTCCTCTCTGCCTCCCTCCCAGGCCTCGCCAGGGCTCCCTTCTCCTCTGCCTGGTTAGACTCGGGCACCCAGGAAAGCCTGGCCAGAGCTCCTTCGGGCCTGGGCCCCTTGCACTGCCTGGTCTAGAAGGGGTGGTGCTCTCCGTGGCCGGCACCCCGGAGCCCGGGAGGGGTGGGCTGCTGAGTCAGAGCGAGTTTGGGGCTGACCAGTTTGGGAGAGGAGAAAAGATCTGAGAGTGTCGTCTTGGTTGTCAGTCATCTCTGCCGAAAGTGGTGATGGTGGCTTCCGTGTGTTTGGCATCTTCTGGCTGGGTTTGGTTTTTGCTGCTGGTGGAATCAGGGTCCTCAGGCATGAGCATGAGCCCAAAGTGCCAGTCTGCGATTGGAGATTTCCAGCCACTTTATTTAAGCCAGTGCTGAGTAGGGCTTCTGCAGAGCCACATTTGAGCCAAGGTCTTGGAAGGCATTGCCCCATGGGCTCAGGTTACTCGGGGTGGAGTGAGCACGTCTACAGGACCCTCACATACATGCCTGAGGCAGAAGCAGCGTCCCCCCGTGAAAGCCACCTTCCAAAGCTCCTGTGTTTTCTGCAAACTTGGCTTCTCCCAGGGGCAGGCCGGACTTTCCCTGCCCCCTATGATTGAAATCCTCCTGCTTTCGGGGGGCAGCCTTCCCAGAGTCCCCTGGGTGCTCCCCTGCCCAAGTCAGGAGCTGACCAAGCCTTGGCCACGTGACACGTGCAGCCCTCACTCCTGTCATCCAGGACACTTGAGGGCCCAAGGAGATGGAGCAGAGAGTGGGCTTGGGGACGTGGGAGCCGGAAGCCAGGTGGAGCTGGTCAAGTGTTGGTCACTTGGAGCCTCCAGTGTGCGTCGGGGTCCGTGGGCAGGGGACAGGGCATGGGTGCGGGCCGAGGCTGGCATGCCTCTCTACCCTCGCCGTCTTGGTGACCTGGCCTCGGCCCCTCCCCAGGTCTCTCCTGTGCACGGCCCAGCCTGGGTCTCGGAAGCTGCTTCCTGGCCCGTTTTCTATGTCTGGAAGTTTACAGGTTGCGGTGCATCAGCCCAAACTCACTGGCGTTGTGTTGTGTTTTGTTTTTTTTCTTTAATTTTCAGATTTTTTTTAACAAAGTATTTTTTTAGGTGCGATAACCCAGAAAGGGCCCGTTGGGTGTGTGTGTGTGTCCTGAACTCCTCAAGCAGAGACTGGAGCCCAAGCACCCTTGGAGACGAAGGGACGGTCCCACTGGCCCGTGGGGTCTGAGTTCAGGGGTGTGGAGGGAGCAGACCCCACTGGCCCAGGCCCAGCTAAGAGGGGGCTGATCCCTTTCCCTAGGCACAGCCCCAGGCTGGCAAAGGGAGGGTCCTGGACTGGGTGCAGGGCGCGCCAGGAGTCCCAGCCAGGGTGGCCCCGGCGGGGGCGGGTCGAGCTTTGGAAGCCAGGCTCCCCTGTGAACCGTGGCTTGTCTGGTCTTCGCCCACGGGAGGCTGGACAGAGGCTGTAGCCAACACAATCACCTTTTCTTTGTACTCTGTGTGTATGTTTTGGTTTTCTGTGTTTTAATAAATCCTTTGGGAAAGGATTTAATCAGAGTTTTTTCTTTTTTTTTTTAAGATTCAAGATTTAGAATGGGGTGGGGGCTGGGGCCAGGGAAGAGTGGTGGGGGGTGAGGGTGTGTCCGGAAGCCTTCTCTTGCCTGGGATCGGCATTTCATGGGTGCAGGGGCTCACTGGGAAGGGGGGGAGCACGAAACAGGGGTGTGCTGGGGTGAGGCCCCTTTCACCTGTACCCCAAACACATGCCATGAGAGCTTCTCCAGGCCTCGACCTCTGTCCTTGTGAGGACAGCAGCCAGCCAGGTCCCCAGAGGGATAGCAGCCTCCCAGCCAGCAGCTTTGGGCCCTCAGAGTTGGGGAAAGAGAATGTGTGTGTTGGGGGCAGCAGGGGAGGCACTGGGCCCCTGGGCTGAATCCCTTGGGAGAGATGGGGGGGCAGGTCTTCTGACCACCTCGTCCCCAGTCCCTGTTCCTGATCTCTGTCTCTCCACAGGCCCTTTCCAACCCACCTGCCTTTGGCTGCAGGTTCAGTTTGGGGGACACCCCAGTCCCTGCTGCTGGCAGCCTTTTCCTCCCCTCCCGTGTGGCCCTGGCCCAGCCCTGACCCCGAGGAAATGAGAGGGGCACAAAGGCACAGAGACCGATGGGTGTGGGCTTTATTTTGTCATTCCATAAATACGGTGGCTGTGTCGTGATCTGAGTCTCGTTTGGAAGCTCGAGGCATAGGACAGTCTGCCTAGGTAGGGAATGCAGTTAGCTGAGGAACCACGGTCGGTTTTAAAAAAAAGACGGGGGGCGGGGACGGAAAAAGCACATTATTTACATGACTGGACAAGGACAGAAGATGGGAGGAAGCCCGTCACTCCTCGGGACCGCAAGGCTGAGTGGGAAACAGTGGGGGCTCCGCAGCACCCAGCAGGGCCAGCGCCCTCCCTTCTAGACCCCGATTGCCCTTGGTCTTCTGCTCTTTCTCGGATGGTCCCACCTAACACCCCCCTCCCGAGGGGGCACCTGGCCCCAGGAGGCAGAACCCCCTCACATCCTCCCTGTAGATGGCTGTGGAGCAAACAGGACATCCAGGGACCAGGCTGTGGAAAGAGCTGCGCCAGAGGCTGCCTGCATCCTGGCACTGGGGTCTTGGGCCTCACCAGGGGCCTGGCCTCTGTTTGGCAAACCCACAGTGGGGGCTCAGCTGCCCCAGGTGTGGCTTGCGTTAAGCAGCAGTGCCCACCCGGGGCACCACCTCACGCGCTGGTCCCTCTTCCAACAGTGGGTGGGGCTGGGGTGGCAGTAGGGATGGGGCCAGCCACCCTCCCTGATGGCGAAGGTGGGCCACCTGCCCTCTGACACCATTGGCCGCTGCAGGACCCTGTCCTGGAAGGAAGCAGGTGACCCCCACCTGGGCCCGGGGCCATAGGCTGGGACCTCCGTTGGGAAGGGACTTCCCCGCCCCACACTCACAGGGCTGCTTCTGGTGAAGTGGGCAGCAGGAATGGGTGGAGTCCCCCAGGACTTGGTCTACGAGGAGGGGCAAGGGTTCTAGGCGCCAGGGGCAGCATGAAGGTGGGCCAGGAACAGCAGAAGCTGCATCCCTCTCCTTGCCTCACCCCAGCCTCTCCCTGCTGGCCTTCCTGACTTACACACGTTTCCCAGGCCTTGGCCCGCCCAGGACTGGACAGCAGGCTCCTGCTGGACAGCAGGGTGGAGCCTTCTGGAACAGTGGCTCCTCCAAGGGCAAAGTGGGAACGGAGGTGCTCGCGCTGAGGGTGTGCCTTGGGGGCAGGAGACACAGGCTTCCCTATGGAGCTAGCTGGCGAGCGGTGGGGGTGGCTTAGGTGGAGCCCTGCCCTGCGCAGTCAGCAAAGCCTGGGTACTGCTCGGGACACAGGCCTGGGCCTGTAGGTGGCACCCCCGCACCTGCAGATTTCCTGGCATCCCCAGCCCTCCGGCCCAAGCTGCACAGGGGTGTCACTCTGGCCTGTCCTGCCGTCCCTCCCCTCTCCCCAGTCTGTTCCAGGTGTCGGGCAGTGGGAGGGGCCAACAAGCCCCGGCCATCTTTCCCGGGAGAGGTTCCCTGAGGTCTTTTCCTACATTGTGGGGGCTGCCGTGGGGGTGCAGCACCCCAGTCCTGGGCACAGAAAACCCCAAGGACCCTTTCTTACTGAAAGGGTCCAAGCATGCTCTCTGCAAAACTCCAGCCCACCACCTCAGTGCAGAATAGCAGCCTGGGGTGGAGGGCGGCTTTAGAGAAAGTCTACAGGGGCCAAGAAGAGTGCGTCCTCGAGCACAGGGCTGGCTTTTGCTGCCACTTGCCACGGTGTGGCCAGCAGCCACGGTGCAGCTAGGAGCGTATGACCATAGGGCCTTCCGGGGCCAGGACGGGGTGGCCGGACAGAAGGGCCTGCCCCACTGCGACCCCTCCCATGTGCTCCGGGCATCACTGGTGTGAGGCTCATCATTGGTGTGTAGGAGGAAGACGGTGGGATGCTGAGCTAGAAATCACACCCCTACACTTTTTGTGGCTCCCAAATTGCAGAGCCGATCCCCCTGGGGTCCCTGCCCCTGCCAGCGAGGGTGGGGGTGGGTGGGGGTCAAGGGCCAGCTCGAGCTTGGTGGGCATGGCCCCCGCCGGGACCCAGTGGGGCAGGTTGGAGCAGAGAAGGATGGGGGAGGAATCTGGGTCAGGCCCAGATTCCTGGAGCCCTTGGAAAGTGGGAGGTGGAGGAAGACCCCCAGGAAGACCCCCACTGGGGAGGCCCCTGCCCCAGCGACCAAGGCCCTGGCAGAAGGGACCCCTCGATGGGCCAGACCCCTTTTCCCTCTCCCCTTACTCGGGGTAGGGATTCTCAGCAGAGGAGAGGCCAGCCCTGCCTGCCCCAAGAACCCACCCAGGCTTTGGCCCGGCCTTGACTTGGGGAATCTTGGGAATCTTCGGGCCTTGACTCTGGGAATCTTGGCTGTGGCTGGGAGAAAGCTGGGCGGTCTTGGAGGATGAGCAGAGGCGACAGGCTTGGGTGGGGCCGCTCGAACGTCCTTCCTAACCAGTGCCGTCCCGGGCACAGATCGGACTTCGACGTTGTCCGGCCAAGCAGTGGGTGGTGTCTGGCAGCGACTGGGAGATCGTTTCCCGATGACGTCACAGTGTGGTGTTTTCTCTTGGATGCAAACCACACTCTTCACTTGGCTTCAGAACAGCTTAAGCGAGCGAACAGAGACTAGGAGGGAATGGCAAGTGTCCGAGCAGGCGGGCGGGGGCGGCTTAGGATCTGTAGTCCTTTTTGCTGTAGGGTTTATTGCCCAAAATACTATCAATCTCGTGGATAATGGAAGACGACAGTTTTGGAAGGACCTGCATGCAAGAACAAGAACGAATCAGAATCCCACCAACAAGATGGGCCTGGCCTGGGGAGGAGGCGGGGTGAGGCTCTTCCAGATGCTCGGCTGGCCAGGCCCGGGTTACCCCATCACATCTGGGCTCCATCTGAGGCAGATGGAGGCCACGCTGCTTTTGTGTTCCAGAAGGTTTGGGGCAGAGAGGAAGCATGCCTGGGTCTGTGCACTCCCCCTCAAATGTCAAGGTGCCCTAGAACCTTCCTGAAGGGTGGTGGCAGCAGTGACATAAAATGCAAACTCCAGGCCAAGTACTGGACTTCCATGTCCCCGACGGCTCTTTCCAGCTGCGCCTGCCTCAGCTAACAGCACCGCTACCCTTCCGGGTGATACACCCGGGGCCCGACTTCCACCTCGCTTTCTCACCCCCACATCCAGTTTGTCAGCCAGTCCTGTGGGCCCCCACCTTCCCAAACACCCAGGATCCAACCACCACTCCCGTCTCAGACCCGCACCTGCCACTTCCCATCAGGGCTCTCTGCTTCGACTTTTGCTTCCCAAAGCCTCCCCGACGGAGCAGCCAGAGAGCAGGCTCCCTTTCCAGGCTGAGCTGCAGCTCGCCCTCCTCTGCCCACAATTTTGCCACGGCTCCCATCTCACTCAGAAGTCCTCGGAGGTGTGCCGTGCCTCTCGGGATCTGTCCCTCTGCTCCAGGCCTCCTTAGGCCTTTGCATCAACTGTTCCTGCTGATGGAAGGTTCTTCCCGCAGGCATTGGCATGGCTTACTCCGCATCTCTTCAAGACTGCTCAAGCACCACCTTCTCAACAAGCCCACCTGACAGGCCCCCGGAACCTGGGTCTGCAGCGCCACCGTCCCTGGCCCCAGTTCCCATCCCCTCCCCTTATCTCTGGCTTCTCTCCTACGGCGCTCATCCACCCTGACACACATTTTTTTTTCCTCTTTTTTTTAAGATGGAGTCTCGCTCTGTCACCCAGGCTGGAGTGCAGTGGTACGATCTCAGCTCACTGCAAGCTCTGTCTCCCAGGTTTACGCCATTCTCCTGCCTCAGCCTCCGGAGTAGCTGGGACTACAGGCACCCGCCACCACGCCCGGCTAATTTTTTGTATTTTTAGTAGAGACAGGGTTTCACCGTGTTAGCCAGGATGGTCTCGATCTCCAGACCTCGTGATTCGCCTGCCTTGGCCTCCCAAAGTGCTGGGATCACAGGCATGAGCCACCGCGCCCGGCCTGCCCCAACACACATTCTAACCTCCTTGTTTCGTGCAGTTAGTGTTCATGTCTGTTCCTGCTGGAAAGCAAGCTCTCCAGGAGCAGAACTCTGATGGGTCCTGGACGCATCCTGAGCGCCTAGAACAGAGCCTGACATGCAGGACGAGCCTGGGAGGATGCACTGGACAGGCTCGGGCTGGGATGGGTGCTCTGCCCAGCAAGGCCTCTCACACTCACCTGTATTGCCCCAATGTTCTCCATGAGCTGGTCCGCGTTGGAGGCCCCCAGGAGCACGGAGCTGACTCCCTCATTCCTCAGGCACCAGGCTGTGGCGGTGAGACCCAAGGTGAGGGAGAAACACACACCCCAGGGGCCCCCGATGGTTCCGCCTGACTGGGCCGAGAGACCCAGCATCTTGGTCTGGGGGGCTGGGGGTGCCTAAGAAGCCCTGCAGTGCTGGGCACGGGCTTTGCCTAAGATGAGGCTGGAGGTGGCATGGGGGAGCCCGCTGCTCCCTGATGGAGAGGCGGCCCAAGTGCTCAGTGCTCCCCGTCCTCTTCCCATGAAAGGGGGAGCCCCATTACCCACGGCCGGCAGATGGAGGGGATGGCCCAGGTCCTCAGGGACTCCTGACATCCCCCTAGAGGCATAGGGTGCCAACCATGCCCCTTAGAGCCCTATTACCTGAGGCTGGCTGGGGGATGATGTCCAGGGATCCCCTCCCTCTCTCCCCAGGGACACTGGCCTCATGGCAACCTTGCCCTGTTACCTACAGCCAGCTGGGGCAGGTTCTCCCCAGGGACACTGGCCCCATGGTGACCCCACCCTGTTACCTATGGCCAGCTGGGGCAGGGTGCAGCCCAGGCGCTCGGCGATGGCCTGCAGCTCCTTCAGCTTGGCTTGCTGGCGCCGGCCCTCCTCACTCAGGATCTTGTCCTTCAGCCACTGGTAACCCTGGTTGCGGGGGAGGGGAGCGGCACAGCTACAGATGAGAGCAGGTCACCTGGACCCCCATGTGCAGCGGGCCGATGGGCTCATTCCTTCTGGACCCTTCTCCCTCATAGGGGCTCTTCTCATCTTGAAGCCAGGGCAGTGCCCCTGCCCCAGGCCTCTCAAGTAGGGGAGAGTAGGCAGTGGGCTGGGCATGGGCTGGTGGATGAGCGGGGCCTGTCCAGGCTCTGAAGTGCAAAGACTGTGGTGCTGGCCCAACCCCACGTCAGGACAAGGAGGCGAGGTGCCGGCCTTCCTTCTCTCAGGACACTTGGCAGCCTGGGGTCTTGGCTGCCACCTGCGGCCCAGAAGAACCTCCTGGCCCTACGGGAGTGCTCTCTCCCCTGGCCATCGCTGCAGAGGATTGCAGGGCCTCCTGGAGGGGTGCCCTGACCTTGCCGTGGGATGGGAAGAGCCTGACATGCAGGACGAGCCTGGGAGGATGCACTGGACAGGCTCGGGCTGGGATGGGTGCTCTGCCCAGCAAGGCCTCTCACACTCACCTGTATTGCCCCACAGCACCGCTACCCTTCCGGGTGATACACCTGGGGCCCGACTTCCACCTCGCTTTCTCACCCCCACATCCAGTTTGTCAGCCAGTCCTGTGGGC